GCAGCATTGTTCCAGACTGAATCCCAAAAGAACTACTACAATCAAAAGCTGTCAGGTTATGAGCATCAAAAGAAAATCACAGATAGCCAGACAGTCCACAGTGAAATTGGGCTGATTTATACAACAGGCAGGATTCTCTGCCCTGTCCAGTTTATGGTAGAAAGAGTCAAGGAGAAGAGCATGATGGACTCTGGATTCTCTGTCCTGGCTCCAGAGCTGTTAGAGCAGTCTGGGGATTGCTCTAAGCTGCATTGGTTGGCAGCAGTTCTCTAGGAATCACTGATGGGGAGTGTCAGAGTGCTTTGAACTCTCCACCTCTACACATGCCGGATGTCTGCCCCGACACATGCTAATTAGCACACTCCAGCAGCCTCCACATCATGTGTATTCATCCTCCCCACATTTCAAAATGACAGCTAGGGCGCTTTAATTACAGCTCATTTAACAAGCTTTAGTTGAAGCACCCTCACCACCATTTGGAAGCATGGGATGCTGAATACACATAATGCTGTGAGTGCTTTAATTAGACCAGTTCTCAGAGCCACTGTAATTAAAGCGCTCCCACCCTGGAGCCCATGTAAAGACACCTCTGCCCACTGCCTCTTTCCACCTTGGACCTGCTTCTGCCCTGACCTGACCCCTATGCTATGAGATTTGTGGAAGGGAGGCACAGGAACAGACTGTCAGGTCTATGTCAGATGGCCGACCCACTTTCACAGAATTTGCCAATTTATACTAGTTGAGGATCTGCCCACCAGTTTGTACAACCACATCTGCTGGTATTTTCAAGATGAGCCTAGCATTTTTTCTCCTTGTTCAGAACTTCAGAGAACAGATATGGACTGCAGGTTGGGAAGAAGGGCCAAAGGGCAGATGGAACAGCTCTAGAACAAATTTTAGCCCATCAATAATCATGCAGTTCTTTCTGAGGACTGGTATAAGATCTTAAGGGAAATGGAGAACTAGAATATACAGCCAATTCTTCAGTTGGAGCTAGATCAGCACAGATCGAGTGAAGTCGCTGGAATGATGGCAATTTACATTTCAAAGAATTTGGCCTGTGCTACTTTGATTTTTCATACTGGAAACCAGATTTATGTTTTATCTTCACCTGACAATAATTTTGGACATGGATCTGTAACTTTGAGATTGCTGCTTGATTGTGCTGTGGCTGTGGGAAATGTGCCCCAACTAAATGGAAAAATCAACAACCTAGGGTTGTAATTCAGACAGATTTTTAGTACAATGGAAAAACATAAAGTTAAACATTCTTTCAAAGTAAAATAAACAATAAAACAAAGGGTTGATGTTTTCTGGTGCCAGCAGAGCGTGTCTGGGGCTGCGTTGCAATATAATGCTGAAAAATTTATTAGCAGAACAATGGTTCATTTTATGAAGCATTGTTTTTCAGTTCTTGTTACTTAATGGTGACTTCTGCATCCAGACTTCGAAGACATTTGGAGGAGAAGCAAAACCGCAGGATATCACTCGATATTCAGCTTCTCTTATAGGCCCAGATTCCATAAAGCACTTAAGGATGCACTTAAATCTTGCATTCCATAATAATGTGTAAAAATGTGTCATTGTGCTAAGAAAATTCATCAGATCAATAATAGTAACAAAAAAAATGTTTTACATTCAACTTAATAACTGCTTAAACTGTTTTCAGATGCCATCACTTTTCTTCCAAAAATTGCACCGTTCTCCTTTCTTTCTCATTTAAGTGCAAAATATAAATATTCCCTGAAGTACTGTAGTAACAAAACTGAATAGGAAATGTTGGTATTATGCCTAAGACCTGAAAACTTTTCCGTTTGAGGGCATTTAGTTTTTCAATTAAAAAAAAAAAAATTTTCTGTGAAAAATAAGCACTTAAAAAAATCATTTGTGAAATCCAGTTTCCTGTCACAAAAACCCCAAAACAATTTAAATACAAAGTTTTTGAATAGCCCTGATCTTTGCATTCTCTGCTGAAAACTTGGTTCTGGAAAGTAAACGTTCTTTATAGCTTTCATTCCTTATTTAAAGTGTTGTGAGTTCTCTGACACTTGGAGTCTTTAATGCAGGGCTGTGTCCTAGCACAGGGGTGGCTAACACACAGCATGCTTTCTAGGCCTGTACGAAGCGGCTAGTATTCGCTTTGGATTCAGCTGATTCGGAGGACAGTGATTCGATTCAGTGATTCGAATCATTGTCCTGATTCAATTCGGCCAAATCTGATTCAGAGATTCGGCAGCTGCTGAATCTCCGAATCTCGGAATCACCCAGGCCCATCCCCCATCCGCTCTCCCAGCCTAGCAATGGCTGTCCTGCCCGCCTCAGCTCCAGCACTTGTTAAATAAAAAGTCCCAGCTCAGCTGGTGCTGCTGGGTGGGGGGCAATGCCTGCTGCCCCCCACTGCCCCACGCTGCATGGGGGGCTCTGCATGAGCCCCCACCTTGTTCCCCCAGCCTCCCATGAGTGCCCCACCCTGGCCAGCTCTGGCCTTTTAAGAACAAAAAGAAAAAGAAAAAACCCCGGACTCACCGCTCCTGCTGGCGGGTGCGATCCCCGCTGCCCCCCATTGCCCCATGCCATGGGGGGTGCTGTGCATGAGCCCCCAAAGCCCCGAGGCTGCTGCAGGAGTGGCAAGTCCTGGGGCTTTTCTTAGTTTTTTTTTTCTTAAAGCTTAAAGCTGGCCTGGGCAGGGCACCCGTGGGGGGCTGGGGGAGCGAGGCGGCGGTCGGGGGGCTTGTGTAGAGCTCCCCCCATGCAGCATGGGCCAGTGGGGGCAGCAGAACTTGCCCCCTGCCCAGCAGCACCGGTGAGCACCAGGGTTTTTTTTAAAGTCCGGGTGAGCCAGGGGGGGGGGGGGCAGCCATGGGGGGCTGGGGGAGCGGGCAGGGATTGTGGGGGGCTAGGGGAGTGGAGGGAGTCAGGGGGGCTGGCAGGGGTCCCCCCATGGTCCCCTCCCCTGCCTCTACTACTTACCAGCTCAGAGTCAGCTGCAGCTCCCTTCTGCAGCCATGGGGGACTGCCCAAATCATCAAAGCTCTCCGGATCTTTTCCGAAGACCTTTAAATTTGTCCCTTGATTCAATTTGGATTCAGAGATTCAGCCACTGAATCAGGCCGAATCTCCTCTGAATTGAATCACCACCCGAAGGTTTACACAGCTCTAGTAGTTAGCCATGTTAGCCTGAAATCAGGCAGAAGGCAGGACAGGGTGGCATTTTAGAGAGCCACCCTGCCACCTGTCCTTTAACCTACCACCTTTAACCTACTGCCCTGCCCTGTCAAATCCCACAGGAGAATTCCATAACCAAGGAAAAGACCCAAAAATACTAAAATAAAAACTTCATTGAAAAAATGTTTCTGACTTAATATTTTGATTATATGCACCAAAATACTGTCAATACAAACAACAGGACTGTCAGGGGGCTGATTATGGTTCAAACCCTAGTATAAATTAAACGTGATATTTTAGCATTCTTTTGGAGGAAAAATAAAACAGTAGACTTAATATTAAAACAATACAGTAGTCTTGATCACAGTAGCTGATTTTGTTCCTGAAATCTCTGGGTGAAATTCCTAGCCCCTTTGAAATCAATGGGAGTTTGACCACTGATTTCAACAGAACTAAGATTTCACTCAACTCTATGAACAAATGAATGAATGAATGAATCAATGTTTTGCATCACTCTTGAGATTCCCACCTAAGGGTATGGGCTCTTGGGCAGATGAACTGATTACTGTGGGGTAAAAGGAAGCATTGCTTTACTATACATTAGCTGCTCTGTAGTAACTGTTTGTGTGCATGCTCTAACTCCAAGGTAAGTGGAAGTTAACCTGTGACAGCTAGCTCTCAGTGATAGAGGGATGGTACTGTGTGCTATCTTTCAGTTACTATAGGGTAGGAGTGTACACAGAACAGTTGATATACAGTAAAGCCCTGACCCATTTCACTCAGCAGAAAGCTGTTTGTGCATCAGTACCCTAAGTGATTTTCCAGTATCTTATTCCTCTTGCTTGTATGAACAGAGAATGTTATTTATTGTTTACTAGTGACACTTACTTTTACTTTTTTCATCCTTGACTTAAGGGCATAGGCTTAGGTCATAAAGGCATTTAGGAGCTTAATTCCCTGTGAACAGTTAAGGGTCTGAACTGTTAACCCTGAAACTAGACATCTGAATGCTGCCACAGCTAATGTAAATCCAATGTCATGTTGTAGGGGAGCTTTGTTTTGTGCAGTTAATATTATTATTTGAATGACAGTAGTACCTACAGACCCTGCCAACTGTGATGGCAAACGATTGTGCTAGGAACTGTATATACAAATAGCAAACAGCAGGTTTTGAATCAAAGAGCGTGCAGCCTAACCAGGCAACCAGAAAAAAGAGGGATGTGGAAAAAATAAGTAAAGATTCACAGTGCCTTGTTCGAGGTTACACAGGGGTTAGTGTTAAAGTCAAGATCAGAAAACCCATTGGACACATTGCCTCTCATCAGATACATAGGTATAACATTGGTTCCTAACGCTACTGTCCTTTTGTCCATCTGGCTTCTTTAGAGTTTAATCTCACTAGGGCACAGGTAAAGTGACCTGTGGGCATTAGCTATGGAAAATCTAGCACAACAAAGAATTTTGAGTGATGCTGTATGGTTCTGTCCTTAAATTTTCCTTGTAGCCAGTTTCCCTTTCTAGACTTGGGAGTCAGGAGACCAGAGGCCAGATGCTTCCTTCAGTTTCAGGATGTAAATCCAGTCATTCCCTGGTCCCAGGTTCCAGGTGATGGTTCTACGTAATGACTCTGGATTTGCATCAGTGTAACAGCAGAATTTAGCCAAGATCTGTGCACCTTGGATAAATCAACACTTTGTGCCTTAGTTTTCCCCCCTGTGAAATGTGGGTACTAATATTGACCCCCCCACCCGTGCAAAGCACTTTGAGATGGATGGGTGGGAGCCTCAACACAGAGCATAGTTTTGTTATTTATTAAAAGGGATTTTATTTATCAGCAGATGAGGAATGTTCCACCACTGAGCATCCATACAAAAAACCCTACATGGAAACCTCACCAGCAGAAGAGGATCCCTTCTACAGGTCCAGTTACTCCCAACAGCAAGGACTGAATACCTCATACAGGACTGAATCTGCCCAGCGCCAAGCTTGTATGTATGCCAGCTCCGCTCCCCCAACGGACCCCGTGCCCAGCCTAGAGGACATCAGTTGTAACACATGGCCCACCGTGCCATCTTACAGCAGCTGCACAGTGACTGCCATGCAGCCTATGGACAGGTTACCATACCAGCATTTTTCTGCCCATTTCACCTCTGGTCCTCTGATGCCCCGTCTCACCGGTGTGGCCAATCACACATCACCACAAATAGGGGACACACATAGCATGTTTCAGCACCAAACTTCTGTTTCTCACCAGCCCATTGTCCGGCAGTGTGGACCTCAAACTGGCATCCAGTCTCCCCCAAGCAGCTTACAGCCAGCAGAATTCCTTTATTCCCATGGGGTGCCTAGAACCCTTTCACCCCACCAGTACCATTCTGTTCATGGGGTGGGCATGGTGCCAGAGTGGAGTGAGAACAGCTAACAAGGAAATAAGGGAAATGCAAGAAAACAAGCCCTGAAAAATTGAAAACCAACGTATTAAAGCAAAATGAATATTTTGCAAGACTCCTTTAACTGAATGTTCACCATTAGCACTCCAGAGATGGACACTGATCTGATGAGCTGTTTGAAACCACGGATTAAATAGTAATCAACCTCATTGTGACTTTTTTCTTTTATTTTGTTGCTAAGAAAATCAACAAAAACGCACTTCCCCCACACCCCACTCCCCAGCCCTCCCTAGACACATGCACACAAAATTTGTTACTGCCACAAAAACTTGTGCTCTCATTTCTTCTGTTCTTCTTGCTTTCAAGTGAAGACACAATTCCTGATGCCTTTTTCAACACAATAAGAGTGCTTGACTGAAAACAACTAGGATGTTCCTTTTTTGTGGTGTTGATGTTGACATTGTTATAAAATAAATAATATATATATATTTTTTTCTTGCGATTCTCTTGAAAAGACACTGTCCCTTTTCACAGAGACATAACAAGATGGATTTCAGAGGTGGGCACTGCTTTACTTATTATTTTTTTAAACAACAAATATTATATTCCCTCAAATAAGAAGACCTACCTCAGTTATGGGTTGCTCCATAATTGAAATTAGTTGCTGCATTACATGATCCATTTTATGTGCAACACGTGCCTGAAATGAGTATCCAAAGGAATGAGCCTTGTAAAATACTGTATTTTCTTGCATACAACATGCCCTGGAATATATAATATGCACCTTGTTTTTGAAAGGGAGAATGAAGAAAAAAGATCTTTCTTTGTAATAACTACTTGAGTAGCAGCAGCTGGAGAGCTGAGCCTGCTCCTTGTTCTGCTCCCTGTTGATTGATGCAATTTTACTTTTGGTATCACCTGGCAAGCTGCCCAGAGACAACTGAAAATCGCGTTTACCATATTTATTGCTTATAATATGCATTTCAATTTCCAGCAGTTGCGTGTTGCATTTAAGACAATATGGTTATTTCCTTGCCACACTGGGCACTGCATTTCTCTCTTTTTCCTTCCTGCCTATCTTTCCTCTTCTTCAATTTATTTTCTTTTAGGCAATTCAAGCTTCTGGGGTACCTTTAAAACAGTGTTTCTGAACCTTTTTAGACTCAAGGCATCCCTTAGATAATGCAGCTCTTAGTTTTCACTTGTTTTTTGACTACAGAAAAATTATAGAGTGATTCTTCTCTTGCAAAAAACTCAGAAAAATCACAGCAGGTCAGAATATTTTTAAGGCTGCAAATTCCTATTTGAAATCTCTGGATTTATCTTGTGCTGCACACATAACAATGTTAACATTGTGTATCAACCTATGGCACCATTGACAGACCCTCAAGGCACTCCAGAGTGCCATGGTACCCTGGTTGAGAATCACTGCTTTAAAGCCTGAAAGTTGCCAGATTGGTCACCTACCAAACTCTTAAAAGACTACAGGAAAACAAAGTCCTTGAACCAACAGGGGAGGGAGCGGTGTGCAGACAGCAAAAACAAAATCCCGTGTTCTTAAAGAATGTTGAACACGTTTATTTGTAAAATCAGCTCTCTCTCCTCATTTTTTATTCCTCTTCCTCTATAAAAAAGAAAGAAAATAGAATCCTCTTTCATATATGATATGTTAAATGCATTGTGTTTAAAAAGTACAGGAAATAGTAGCAGGAGGGGAAGAGAAAAAAATGTGTGCAAGTAACAAACTTCTTTTGCAGGGTTTTTTCAGATGTAATAATTTACTGGTACTATTTATTTATAAAATAGGAATTCTAATAAGTAATAACACACAATAAAACCAGCAGAGTAGCTGGTTGAGAGCGTTTTATTTTATTGATGCTCAAAGTCAAGTTTGGTTCCTTTTTTTCTTTTCTTTTTTCCCTACTCCAAACTGTGTGGGTATGTGTGTGAGTGTGTGTGTGTGCGCACACACACACGGCAAATACACACACACTTTTAATGGAAGGTGACCCTCCATTAAGAAAACAGGGTATATGTGAGTGTGAAGAATGAGAATGTGAATATGTATGAATGTTGGGGTGTATGTGAAAGCGATTACAGAAATACCTAACTATTCTTTCCATATTCTTGTGTGCCAATTTATGTTTAATAAATACCACATGCTATGAAGTACAAGGTACCTGGGCACCTATCTTCTTTTGTTCTTTGTACTAAATGACCATAAGATAAGCTGTTATTATTTGTTTGTATTACAGCATTATTTACTTACTCTGATTGAGACTGTATTGTGCTAGAAACAGCAAGCATGTACCACAAGGCAGTTTTTATCTCCAGTGTGCAGTCTGAGCTTAGGAGAAGGGAAATATGATCAATCCTGTTTTACAGCTGGCACTGAAAGTTTAGCAACTTGCACAGGTGGTTGGACAGTGTGTAGGGCAAGATGGCACATGCATAGAAGGAGGTGAATTCAGAGGACTGGAGATCAGATCCCAATCATACTCTATTGCTGGTATAGGGGGAACCTGGGTTCTCCCTGCACAGGCAAGTAGCAAGCTGGATGCCCAGTGGACCTAGGGCTGGGAACGCCAGTCTGCTGATCAGAGCTCCCAGCCCTGGGAGCCCACTGGCCACATCTTCAATTTAAGGTGCAATGGGAACCAGCCACAAAGTTATTACTTATTAACTGGTTAATCATTTCTTCAGTATACCATCTGCCAGGACCTTAAGAGACCAAATGGCTCAGAGGCACATGCTTTTACAGACTACCTATTTTGTCAGATGCTAGGAATAGAAATTGAACCCAGATCTATCAAGTCCCATATCAGTACCTTAATCACAGAACTTTCCTCCTTTCAGAGTATAAAAGGAGTTTAATAGCAAGGGACATTTAGTTACAAATCACTTTATGTTGCTTCTTACCTTATTTCCTTATCTTTACCTGCTCAAGGCTGAACCAAATATGCATTCCTAACCTCAGACTGGTGGATGGCTAGTAGTGGAAAACTAACCAGAGGGTAGATTCTGCCAGTCTTAGTTTGTAGAGCGATCCTATTGAAATTAATGGTACAACTCCTGGAATACAGTGCTGTTCAATATGATTAAGGCTTCCACAATCTGACCCAGTGATATTTATTAGGTGATGGCATGATCTCATTAGAAAGGGAATAGAGCACCATCTCTTGGCAGATTTATAACAAGATAGAAGATAGCACTAGAAAATATAGCATAAGGAGTAAACTAGCACTATGGCCCCTAAATGGTGATGGATTGAGATGACCAAAAGTTCTCCTTCATTTCTGGTCTAAGGTGGGCCTTGTTCTGCTCCTGTTAAAACCAAATCAGTAGAAAAGATCCCATTAAATTCAATGGAATCAAAGCCATTGATTCCTTGGTTTGCTTAAAACCTGAATGGGGTTTCCCTATCTAATCTAGAATAGATTCCAAATGATCTATCTGCAATGCAGTCAATATTTCCTTCTATATTTAACTTTAATCAATGGTCAGTCTGTTGCAAGCACTGAATGGTTCCAAAAATTGAAGGTTAAAAGGTACAAGAAAGTCTTTTATGGGCCAAAATTCTGCCTGAGAGTTGTATTTGAATCTCCAGTGATTGGGCTGGGAGCTATGCATGGACATTATCACTGCATAAAGGGCCAGTTTAAGATCTATACATCATGTAAACCTCATTTGAGACCAATTTAAAGCTATACATAAGGCTTTTATTACTGCTACTCATTGTGTGCTGAATTCTCCCGAATTACTGACTTTCTACACTATTTAGTAAACCCCACAGTATTTCCTCTAATATTTAGTAGTCCAAAATTAATTACTAAATCCATTGGATTCTGGGTCAGGCAACAAAAATTACCATGTCTTTTCTTCAGTTACATTGTACTTTTCAACATTGTTATCCCTACAATGCCATTATCTCACCACTAATCTTATAATCATTTTACCAGAATATGGTAATTTACATATAATTCAATGAGTAAAGAGGACTTAGAAGCAATTTTTTCCATACATCTTAAAGAGCATTAGAGAAAATAAAATGCATGGGAAAATTATTTCTCAAGCTTTAGAAGAGCAATCTCAGGATTCTGACTTGATTAATTATCTTCATGCTCCCTGTTTTGGTTATCTGTCTCCTTAATAGAAAATCTGAAGCTTGGTCAGGAACCCTAAGAAACTGAGATAGGTCATGCTTTTTATACTCAGTGTTCCATTGGCTCAGACCAATGTATGGGATATTAAATGTATGGGGGATTTGCTTTATGTTGCGATGTTATACTTCAAGTTCCTTTAAAAGTCCATTAATGTATTTCCTTGAAGGGCTTAAATGGGGGCAGGGAAATATTATATTTAATATTAGGAAAATCTGCTTAGTCAAAGTGACAAAAGAGGGAATAGAGTGGACCACAAGCTGAATAGGTGTCAACAGTGTGCTCTTGCTGTGAAAAAAGCCAATATCTTACTGGGGCGTATTAACAGGAGTGTTGCCTGCAAGTCAAGGGAAATGATTCTTCTGCTCTGTTCACAATGAGTGAGGCTTCACCTAGAGTACTGCATCCAGTTTTGGCACTGCACATCAGAAAAGATGTAGGTAAATTGGAAAGAGCCCAGAAGAGAGCAACAAAATTGACTAGAGATCTAGGAAACATGACTTGGGAGGAAAAATTGGAAGATCTGGGATTATTCATTCAGGAAAATAGAGGACTGGGAGGGGAACTGATAGCAGTCTTTAAATACATAAAGAATATCTATAAAGAGGATAGTAATAGACTACTTTCTGTGCTTGAAGGGGACAGGACATGAAATAATGGGGTTAAATTGCAGCAAGGGAGAATTAGATTAGATATTAGGAATAATTTACTAACTATGAAGGTGGTTAAGCACTGGAACATATTACTAGAGAGACTAAGGAATCCCCATCCATCAAAGATTTTAGGAGCAGGTTAGACCAACACTTGAATGAGATGGTTTAGACAGGGTTGATCCTACCTTAAGTAGAGGGTTGAACTAGTTGACTTCCTGAGGTCTCTTTCAGTTCTATTTTTCGATGATTTTATGAAAAGGAGGGTGTGGAAATCTTTGTATTCAGGGCCAGATGAAATATTCAACAAGCAGAGTGCCTGAAACATCATGAAGTTCGCCCTGTGTTGGTGCAAAAGATGGACAAGATGCCTCAGCAGAAGTCCTTCCCAAATAAATT